TTCTTCTTTTTCTCTCGCTCCACACATTTTTGAGGGAGGAGCTCTTACACATTATTGTTCTTTCTTTCTTTTATCTCTCTCAACAGTAGTGAGTGCTCTTCTTCTCCTTTCTCCTTTCTCCTTTTCATTTTCATTTTCATTTTCATTTTTATTTTTGCCTTCACTGGCTAAAAAAGCAAACTTCTGATCTTTGTGACTTCTCTCTCAGGTACCCTTTGTGGTCTCAAAACTTTTTTTTTTCTTTCTGGTCCTCTGATTTTGCTTGGTGGGTTTTTAGCTTCTTCCTCTATCTTGTTTTTTAGCATCTGGGTCTTTGTGGGGGGAAGCTTTTGGGATCCAAAGAGGTGGGTCTCTCTCTCTCTCTCTCTCTCTCTTTTGTGATTGAGATCTGTATGAATCTCCTTTACTTTGTTCTTATCGTTTGCTCTATTTTTTCTTGTTTTTTGTTTTTTTTTTTTTCGCCTTTTGGGTGTTTAGCAAAAGCTAATAGAGAACCTACATATTGGGTGGGAATTGATTTAGTTTTACATGTTCCTTTGATCCATGCCAGTTTCCTCTAAAGACGTTTGAGCTTTCACTAGAAAAAAGAATAAAAGATCAACATTTTAAGGTTGGTTTAGATAAAAAAATTGTTTCTTTTGTATTTGGATGAAAAATCTGAACTTTGTTTTCCTCTGTATGCATGTGATTTTATTGCAATTTCTCAGTGCCCTTTAAGTGGCTTTCTATGATTTATTGTTAATAATCATGTAAAGGATGATGCTTTAGGGAAAGGTTTTTTTGAGTTGAAAAAAGGGTTTTTTAGGTTGTGTTTGCTCTTCATATATATATATATATAATGTTTTTCTTTATACTTGCTCTAATATTGACAATTTGATTTGGGCAAAACCTCATTAGTTTTGAAAGTTTTTTCATTTTTGGTAAAGTGTTGTTTCTGTTTTAGTTGTAGAGATCAGTGAATCACTTTGGCTTTTTTGATGGGCTTGAAGATGAAAATAACTGAGATTGTTAATGGTGGGATTCAACTGGTGAAAGTGGGGGGTGATGAATAATGGGTTTGTTCAGTTTGATAATCTGTTCATCAACAAATCGGATTCATTTCGATGGCCTCGAAATCTAGTACCGGAATTTCCCCGGAAAAACATAGGAAGTTAGTTGCTAGTCAAACAACAGAAGGAAACTCCCGTAGACCTCCCCCTCTACAGGTTTCAAAGACTAGCAAATCGGCCCCGGTTACACCTAGAGAAGTAGTAGCTCCTAAGGGTGTTCAGGTTCAACAAGTTGCTCCAAAGACCTCAGAGGATAAAAGAGATTCTCCTAGTTCCTTAGAGGATAAGTTAAATTCGAGTTTGTCGCTGGGCGATTCAAAACGATTGCCATCTGATGTGGCTGCTGTGAATCCGCCGGAGGGTTGTGGAGACCAAGAGAAGAAGGGATTAGATGTTGGAGTTAGCCCGGGTTCGGCAAAAGTCAGTGATGGGGCTGGCAGCCTTGCCAAGACTAGTGGAAGCGCGAAAGTTAGCGAGCGGGTTGATTTCGTTGAGAGCGGGAAGAGTAGTATTTGTAGAGGGAGCACAAGCAGTGATTTGAGTGATGAGAGCACTTGTAGCAGCTTAAGCAGCAGCGTCAACAAGCCGCACAAGGCGAACGACATAAGGTGGGAGGCCATACAGGTCGTGAGATCGAAGGAAGGCGGTTTGAACTTTGGCCATTTCAGGCTTCTGAAGAAGTTGGGGTGTGGAGATATTGGGAGTGTCTATCTCTCTGAGTTGAGGGGAACGAAATGTTACTTCGCGATGAAGGTTATGGATAAGGGGTCTTTAGCCAGCCGAAAAAAGCTGCTTCGGGCTCAAACGGAGAGAGAAATTCTACAATCCTTAGACCACCCTTTCCTTCCTACTTTGTATACGCATTTTGAGACGGAAAAGTATTCATGCTTGGTGATGGAGTTCTGTCCCGGGGGTGACTTGCACACGCTTCGGCAGAGGCAACCGGGGAAGCACTTTACTGAGCAGGCTGTTAAGTATGATACCTTTACCTTCTCATTTTCCTTACTATACAGAATGGTGTTAGTTATGAAGATGTTAAATCTTTATTGAATTTTCCTTACTAGCTTCTGGATAATTTGTTCTTATAAATCATGTCTATTTTTATTCGCTTATCAATTAGTCTTGGTTATGTGATATATGATGTGGAACGTTACATATGGATATTTAGGAAAGTCTAATTGATAATTCATGAGTTATGAGATATATGGATTGTAGAATTATGGAAATATTTTGGACTTAGTTTAATCTGAGAGTGAAAATTTGATGCATATTAAGGTGTTAATGTTGTTGAAATTCACTGGGAAGATTCATGGAGATTATCGTATGATTTTTGGCTTTTTCAAAACCAAATGAAATTATCCAAATATTTGTTTTTAAGTAAAGAGTGAAAAGATTCAAGAGAAGAAATTATTATCATTATTAGTGAGAAGACTTTTTTCTTTTTCAATTACTCTTTTATTTGAAAACAATAACTTTCAAGATGCTTGTCGTTGCTCATTGCTATTGTGCTAGAGATATTCTTAAATTCATCTGTTGTTGCCCTATCAAACGTAATATAAATTTGTTTCAGGAAGTAAATAACCGTTTTTTTTCTCTCTTAATTGAGGAAAATTGCCATTAATCCATTGTTTACTGAGCGAATCCATTAATTACTGCGTATTAAATCAGTTTATTTACTGAAACTGTCATTTTTTATACCTGAAATTCAGCCATATTTTTTTCAACACATCCCTAAAAACGGCCATTTCCTCATGTCACCCCTTTATTATCTTGTTTCACTTGGTGATGAATGCTCTTTTGATATAGGTATAACTCACTCTAACTGCCATTTGCTATTATGCTTGACCTTCACTATGCAGGTTCTATGTTGCCGAGGTTCTCCTTGCTCTCGAATACCTCCACATGCTTGGGATTGTCTACCGAGACCTCAAGCCAGAAAATGTCCTCGTGAGGGACGATGGGCACATAATGCTCTCCGACTTTGACCTCTCCCTCCGCTGTGCCGTCAGTCCAACACTAGTCAAGTCTGCAGCTCCTGAATCTGAGCCCCTGCGAAGGAATCCGGTCTATTGTGTGCAGCCAGCCTGCATTGAGCCGTCTTGTATACAACCATCTTGCGTGGTGCCCACAACTTGCTTTGGTCCACGTTTCTTTTCGAGTAAATCCAAGAAGGATAGGAAGCCAAAGAATGAAGTGGGCAACCAAGTTACCCCGTTGCCCGAGCTCATTGCTGAGCCAACTAATGCTCGCTCGATGTCATTTGTTGGGACCCATGAGTACTTGGCACCTGAAATCATCAAAGGCGAAGGGCATGGCAGCGCTGTTGATTGGTGGACTTTCGGTATTTTTTTGTACGAACTATTGTTCGGTAAGACCCCTTTCAAGGGATCAGGGAACCGGGCAACCTTGTTCAACGTCGTGGGACAGCCATTGAGGTTCCCAGAGGCACCAGTAGTTAGCTTTTCAGCAAGGGATTTGATTAGAGGGTTGCTTGTGAAGGAACCACAGCATAGGTTGGCGTTCAAGCGCGGGGCAACGGAGATCAAACAACATCCGTTCTTTGAAGGCATAAATTGGGCATTGATCCGATGTGCAAGCCCGCCTGAGGTTCCAAAACCCGTAGAATACGAGAGAATCTCAACCCCGATGGTGTCAATGAGTGAAAAAGCCACCGCTGCTGGTTCTGTCGCTCACTCGGATCAAAACAATTTTCTGGAATTCGATTTCTTTTAAGTGGTCACCAAGCTAATATTGCTATTGTTTCTTTTTTGCTTGAGAAAGGTGCACAAAAGCTTCTGAAATGTTGATCATGTGGGAAAAAAAAATTAGTTTTTTTTTCTTTTTTTTTTTTTTCCTTTTTTTTTCTTTTAATGCTTATAGTGATCATATGTTTGATGTTGTGATACATTTTCATACTTTGTAATGCAGAAGCTGAAAATGTTTAGTGCTTTCCCCAATGTGAATCCAGTTTCTATAATGGTATATTTCTAACACTAAAGTTTGTTATCTCATTAAATAAATATTGGTCGCCTTGCTTTACCAAATTTTGGAGATCAACATTGAAAAAGTCTTGGCATTCCTAGCAGATTATTAGCTATTTATGACCATCACAAAGTCAACAAGCTAATTTACGCCTCCTGAAGAGAACAATGAATTATAAGATAAATTTTGAAAAAGAACCCTTGTAAAAGAACATTATCTCACAAACCCTTCTAGGCGGGCTTATTTGCATCTCTCGCCCTTAAACTTACACATGTGTTGCATTTAGATCCCTATGCTTTTCTTTTGTCACATTTAAGTCCCCAACATTTGCTGTTTTGAAGCACCCGGGGCCTTCTCACTTTTCGCCCAACTACTTTTCCTCCCACGTTAAGTCATCATGTGCAAGCACGTGCACCCTTGGCTAGGGACATTTTGGTATAAACAAAAAAAATGTATTTTTACTAATAATCTCTAACATTTTACACATTTCAAATTAGTCCTCAAACTTTTCTCTCTGAGATAAAAAATCCTCATGTCTCATATTTGCTGCGGAGCTTGTGAACCCTTTTTTTGTGTAGCTTGTAAACTAATAGTGTATTAACAAAATTACGCACAAAACGTGAGTCTTTGCTTTAGGCCATGTTTCAGGGTCATTCATCCCATCTCTTTGATGATAACTTCCATAATATAGATTAATTTTTTTAAAATAATATATTAATGTGAACAATCCAAACATGCCAATTTTATTTGGAATGAAGTGTCATTTGACTCTTAGAGAAATTTGTTTATACTTGAATTTGCAACTTTAGGGGAATTGTATTCAATTAAACAAAAAATACAAATACAATGTGAGTGATCTCGTGATACACGAGACAAAACTCTCAACTGATACCGTTTCATTAATAAAATCTAATGAAATTCAGAACGAAGAACGTATATTGAAACTTGATGATGAGAAAATTTTCTCGACACACTCATAATTGAGCATGCAGAAAGTTCGTTTTGATAAGAACTGTACAATCACCACAATCCTATTATTTTAGGTTAAACGAATTAGTTTTTTTTTTTCCTCCCCTAATTTTGGTTTCCCTTGGTTACTCGCTCAAAGCAAAAGTCATTTTCATGGAAAATGATATGTCGACCTTGGAAAACAACATCTATTTCATTTATTAGGTACCCTCCAAATTAAGCAGAATGTTATTTAGGATAACAATATTCTTCTCAAAAGTCTAAAAAGGTATAGAAAAATATTCTCACTAAAGAAAAAAAAATAGTCAACAATATTAATTAGTTTGTTGGATAATAGTAATAATTTTTCTTAAGTAGAATTCTTGGTGGTGAATATTTTCCTCCGTTATGCCATGATAACTTTCTTTATTATAATTATTATTTTTTTATAGTGAATACATGATAACTTTCTTTTTAATTATTTAAAGATTGTGCACTTTTTCTTCGAAGACAATTATTGTTTGTACATATATTTTGTGGTGCCAAATGCTAATTGAAATCTTTCTATGAAATTCCTTATTTAAACCATTGGTTAGAACATCACTATTAAATTAGAAAAAAGCTCAAGAAATGTAAGGTAATATACTTTGTGGTCCTTTGCATATAGTATGCTTTGGTTTCAAATTTTTGGGGGACCATTTATAAAATATTTTCCCCCACATTTTTCTTTTTGCTATTTTGGAATTTTAAACAGTTTGCATATGATCATTAATTTACATTTAACTAATTTTAACTTAATTGCCACGCCATCATTGGGAAGTTATTAATAATTGCATGTATAACTTTTGTATTTATAGACTTATTAAAATTTTGAAATTGTTGGTCTTTCCCATGTTCCAAGTATGCTTTTCAATTAAATTGATTTAAAAAATTATGAATCTTAAATGTAGATACACGTTCTTTCCTTTTCCCATCAGGAAAGAAAACCTAGAAATATATGCCATTTGGACCATGTTAGATCTTACAATTAAGCCCCAGTGTCCACCTGACAAACATACAGCTTTATGTAACTATCATTAGTGAGAATAATTGAGTAAAACTGCTAAAAATTCCCCACCCAAAACATGTTTTATATTAGATTTGAGTAATTAACACCGATGATCCTTAATCTATTTAATATGTGATAGTTTGGTACATTTTTTAAAAAATTTTGGTAAAATAGTCCTTAAACTCAAACAGTACAACAATACAAAGATGGCTATGCCATTTAACTTTTCTTTAAAGTTGAAATTTTATTTACTAATTAAGTCAATATAAACTTTAATATAATCATAAATAACTACTAAATACAGGGATAAATATTTGACTACAGATAGAGATTGCACCTACTAGCGAAAATGAATGAGGCGCTGATAGGTACACTAAGTGTCAAGTTCCAATATTTCAACATATTAATATATAAAATAGTCATTTTTTGACAAAACTACTTTAATTAATGGATTATTTCATTTTAATAATGCGTTTATTCGATTTCTTAAATTTTAGGAGCATAATATTGAATTATTTGAGCATCTTCCACGTGAAATGACATAAAATATTGTCATGTCATGAATCTCGTCATGGTTGTCTTTCCCTTATTAGTTATATTAGATTAGATTTGTGAATCTACATTATGTAATGATTTGATAACCCAAAGCGAAAGAGATCATAAAACTGATGAGAAAGCACAAAAATAAGAAATTAACAAATTCAATTTTCCAAATTGATGCCAGTGTCTTAAGCCTTACTATACGGTAAGTATAATATATTTTTTATAGACTCTTAACTTTTTGGTGTAACATAATAACATCGAAACAATATTAATGTAACTGAGGGTAGACTACATTTTAAAAAAAAATGAACATTACATGCATGTACGTATGATGTTACATGACAAACAAAATAACTTAGGAATGACTTTCAACTAAAAATGTTGAATTTAATTAGATTCAAATTTTATATGCAAAAACTCAAAAAACACATTACAGAAAAGAGGAAATATCACTTTCTATCTCTATTAATATATTTTGTATACTCTTTAACTTTTTGGTGTAACATAATAACGTCGAAACAATATTAATGTAACTGACGGTAGACTACATTATAAAAAAAATGAACATTACATGCATGTACGTATGATGTTACATGACAAACAACATAACTTAGGAATGACTTTCAACTAAAAATGTTGAATTTAATTAGATTCAAATTTTATATGCAAAAAATCAAAAAACACATTACAGAAAAGAGGAAATATCACTTTCTATCTCTATTACTTTACAAAAAGCAAGAGAGAGAGAGAGAGGGAGAGGGAGGGAGGGAGGGAGGATTCATGTTCAATGATCAAGCATATGTAGCATCAATGATATGAAAAAAGGAGATCAATAAAAGTTGGTCCCAACAGTTTGCTTTAGATATTGCCAATATAAAAGGTTTGCAAAAGCCTCCCCCGTTGAAAAGTGCAAGATACATTGTTGTTGGATTCCAATTTCCAACCAAATTGATTAGCTGTATTTTTGTTGAAAATTAGGCATACTTTCCTGTATGTGCTAGGATTCTCTTGTACCCATCCTTTCTTTTCTTTTTTTGCTTCTTTTCTTTTTTCAGCAATGCCCTCTCAACTTATAGATTGACAAGTTGAATCTCCTAAAAAAATGAAAAATGGAAATCAACCACTGAATTCATTATTTCTTGGTAAGATGATCGTGACTTTTTGGATGAAATTAATTATCATGCACAAATGTTGTAAAATTGTTTCTCTCCATCTTTTTTTTTTCCCTTCTCAAACTTTTTTTTAAATAACTTTAATAAAAAAGTTTTATTCATAAAATAACTTTCTAAAAATTTTAATTTGCAAAATGATATTAGAATGAGACGTTTCAGGATGGAAATTAATATTTGTTGCGTTAGTATTTACGGAGAAAAAACTCATAACTTTAATAAACATTATCACTCAATCTCATGACTTTTTTTTAGAGAGAGATAAGTTAGAGAAAGGGTCTAAAAGCAAACAGAGAGAGAAAGAACTGGGATCGTAATCTGACATTTTAATTGACTGTCGGCCTTCAAAGTTCAGTAGGAAGGTCACAGAGATCACAGTTGCTAAGTTCGCGCTGTCAATAGTGTGGGCTGTCACTGAAATAGAGACATTTAAGAGCGAAAAGGTCATCGTTCTTCAGCCGTAGATCTGGAATGCATCCATCGTGAGGTCCTTCTGAAACTCTGAGAACTAGGTTGAGGGAAGGAGATGAGAAAGATGATCCGGCGCATGTAGCAGTCGCCGCCCATTGTCGGTAGAGCGTGTACCCCACGCGCTGTTGTGTTTCTAATGATATCATTCTTCACACATTTCCGGCGATGTTCCCTAACTTTTGTGTTGTACTTTCTGTGTTTGTAATAAGGACAGTGATTTTCCCACCCGACCCTCGTTTAGTTTGTTGTTAGATTTTAGTGAGCTGCTTAAGGCCATTGTTTGGCTACATCTTGTTTGGTGGACAAAGCTTGCTTTTGCTCCACCCTTCATAGGAGATATTTTCCATTATTAGGATAGGAGTTCGCTCTGGCATCCTCTGAGTAGGCTAAGGGTGTGTTTGGTTTGAGAGTTTTGCATGGTTCAAACCATGGTTTTTAGTTCTGTTAAAGTGTTTTTCTTTTATAAAAAATTTGAATTTCAAATGTCAGAATCATGAACAATAGTTTGAACCTATGAACCAAACATTCAATGTTAAAACTTAAGACAGATAATTTCAAATTTTCATCACTTCTTTTCCCTTGCTCTTTCTCTTGAGATTTTTAGGTAGCAAGATATCCAATTGTTGTATCCATCAAATGGCTGAAAATGTTATCGCTTCACATCACCATCGGTGATAGGGGTTCTGAGTGTGTAACTGTTGGAGAAATTTGAGTGCAGAGGGTGAAAAGAATGCAGAAACAAGATAGGGTTTGAGGCGTATAGGAAGACTTTTCTTGAAGGTTTTATTTGCCCTTA